TTGTATTGTTGTTATTATCATTGTAAATTTGGAGGCTGGCTATCAAGGGTTTCGAAAACAGTTTGTTATTGACATAGCGATAAAAATTTTTAACATTCGCTTTAGACAACAATTGGTTTTCTTTATTTTTGCGGTGTAGATTAGCTAAGTTAGAGCAGTAACTGGAAATCTTCAAATATTGTTCTTTATCAACTGGATTTGAACTTGTTTTCCATTTCCTCCAAAAATAAAGTTTAGTTTTGTATAAGTGCCCTAGAAGCTTGATGTTGAGACGGTGATTGACTGCGTCCAATTTTGGGAACAAAAGTCGATATTGCGTGGTTGATTATTTGTTCGAATGTGTCCCAACACATATTGACATTAAAACAGTGCTGAAAATGATAATTTCAATTTATATTAGACAAATAATTATTTATATCATTATAATTAGCACTCTTAAAATCATAGGAGTATGTTTTGATGAATGGGTTGACGTCTGGTGAGTTGTTGATGAAACAGTTGATTTGAAAAGTGATGATGTTGTGATCACTTGAGGCAAGCGGACTGATAATTTCTAACTCAGCCAGTAAACTGGAATCATCAGAAAGTACCAAGTCGAGGACATTTTGATCTCGAGTAGGCTGATCGACCATTTGTTGCAGACCAAGTTCATTAAAAAGTTGAATAAATGAATTATAAATTGAGTTATTTGGTAAAGAATAATTGGTCCAGTTGATGAGTGGGAGATTGAAGTCACCTAAAAAACAGTTGACATGACCTCTAACAGCTCTCTAATGCATTGTATGCTATCAGTGGCATAATCATCAGCCGACCTGTCAAAACCCCCAGGGCGATAGTATGGTATGTAGCGGTGATGCGTAGATGGTAATATCAATAGATACTATTTCGATGTGCGAGTATTAAGTTGGTTTTTAAGTGATTTTTGGTGATTAAGTGCGAGTATTATTATGACCTCTTTGAAAGATATTGAGTTTTTTCTAGTTTTTTTTATATACGTATTGATATTACATAAAAAATAATATTATTTTTGAATCTATATTTTATCCACCCATATTTTACCTAGTTTATTTGATAAATTCTTACAATTTTTAAAAAAAATTTTTCCATATTTTACAAATAGAATTCAAATTATTAAATACTTTAGATTTTAGAACCCCTCGAACCAAATTGAATTAAAAGATGTATGTCAAATTTTATTATTATTGCCATTTTCTGAGAACTACCCAACAAGTATAAAGTAAAAAGGAATTATAGTTGCAAAATCATGCATAAATTACAATATTCATTTTTTGCTTTATTTGAATGTCACATTTCTGGTTTTCATGTTTGCAAAATCGTCAATTAATGCTAAATAGTCGAGTTCAGAAGCAATATCATTTTCGATATAAATTTGTATTAATCCAACAAGTCTATTTTGTGTTTTGAATAGTTTTAATTTGGAAAAACTGCGTTCGGCTAATGCCACTATTATAGGTACTGTTAATATAATCCGCAAAGCAGTCGTAACATGTGGAAACACTTCTTGCAATCTGCTGTCATATATGAACCTTATAACTTTAAAAGGAATACCGTTATCTGGTGACACATCTGCTAATGTTTTCAGTTCAGCAAATAAATTAAGTTCTTCAATGTCAGATTCTGATTGAGTTTCTTCAACCTGATGCGAATCATCGGACACTGAAGCAGAAAGTATCAAATTTAGCTTTTTGCGGATTTTCATCAGAGCAATATTTTAAGCCCGAAATATTAAATAAAGAAACCAAAAGATGATTGACAATTTGTCAACTGTTCAAAACGATCGTTTAAAGACATTACTGCTTGATCTATCAGTACGTTAAAAAAACCAAAAACCGATTTTAAAATTTTTTTCTGGATCATATATTGACTCATCTTCATAAGAAACTTCATAGGAAAAATTTTTTTGTTTGGTTTTTTCTGTAGACATTTCTTATTTTTCTGCTAATTCTTTTGCTGCTATTTTTGAATCATGGAAACCGATTTCTTTGAATTCTACAAGAAACTTGTTTACTTTTTTAATAATTTCAAACAATTGTCTATTTCCATTTTATCACTTCGCATGATTTTGCTTAATACATTCACTTGTGATAAAATGTCATACCAAACACACAAAGTAACTAAAAAAGTAAAATTTCGAATTGTTTTTGTAAGAGAAGCTTCTGTCCGACATTTTGGATCATTTGTGGTTTTGGAAATTACAACCAATGCATAATAGATAACACCTATTTGATAACGAATTGCTTTTACGCTGTCCTCTTTACATTCCCATCTAGTACCAGATAATGGTTTAACTGTAAGATTTTTTACATGATTTTTTTAGTATTTGCCATCTTTGAACTGATGCAGAAAACAAAACGTAAATTTGCTGAACAATTCCAAAAAATTCTGTTGCTACTACAGATGACTTAGCCATATCTGAAAGCAACAAGTTTAGGCTGTGACAACCACATGGTACAAAGAAAGTTCTTTTATTGATTTCTAAAATTCTGGCCTGAACTCCTTTGTTGTTGCAACCTTTCATGTTTGCACCATTGTCATATCTTTGGCCACGACAATCAGTAATTGATAATCCTAAATTATTGAGTTTTTGTAGTATAGCTTCTGTTATTCTTATTCCAGTACTTTCTTGAACTTGCAAAAATCCTACAAAACGTTCAACGATATTAACAGTGTTGACTTTTATTTCGACGAATCGAAGTATTACGTCATTTGTTCTTGATTGCTGATATCTGGTGTGCAATCCAATATGATTGAGTTGAATTTTGAGTTTGTAATCCTAAGCATTATTTCTTTCAAAACCTTGCTACTAATTAGTTGCATTAATTCATTTTGTATGGTTATGTCTAAATAATGTTCATTAGCCTCGTTATTATTAATTCGATGACAATGTTCGAGTAGAACAGAATCAAACTTGGCCATCAATTGAACCAATCCTAAGAAGTTCCTATTATTAGGTGTGTTCAATTTTTCATCAGTTCCTCGAAATGCTAAATTTTTTTGAGCCAAAAATTGGATTAATTCGATAAGTCGTTCAAGTACGCCACGCCAACGCAGTTTCTCAGAATTTAATACTTTTTGTGTTTGTAGGTCAATCGTCTGATTTGAATTTAGTCGGTTTTCCAATTTGATCCAGAAGATGTTTTATGACTACTTACAATAGCTGCAAAATTTGAAAATATTTTACAACAAAAGCAAAATGCTTTGTCTGTATGAATCGAACAAATTAACCATCGCCTGTCCATTGTTTCACAATTCGAAAGTTTTTTCTTGTAATGTATTGCTGAAAAACGCCTACCATTTGTTAATGGAAAAATGTGATCAATAATTCTCATAGGTCCTTTTTTAACCAGAAAATCACGTTGTTGAGAGTTTTCAATATTTATTGGCCCACAGCCAATATCACTCCAATCAACAGTTTCAATGTTATCATCCTGAAATGATTCAATTTTCTCTTTCGCAATAATTTCAATTTTATCGTCCTCAACTGGTTTGCGTTCCATTGTACTCGTTAAATTACATGAAATATCGGGAACGTGATCTAATGCAATCATCTGATCAATTTTCATACTTTCGGGTTTCTCTTCCATCTGAGTGGCTTCAGCATCATCCATGACTGCTTTATCATCCTGATGCTTTAAATATTTAAAAATAGAACATTTTTGTGATTCTAATCGTTCTTCTTGAGCTTTTTTTCGTTTTCGTTTTTTAGCACCAAAATCGTTTTTACTTTCTTTTTTAGCTGACATGGTTAAATCAAATTTTTAATTTTAATTATTCATTAAAAATAAAGAAATCAAAAGTTATAAAATTTGAAAATGGTAGCCTAGTCTAGATTAAAATGAACACATCTTTATATAAACTTCCGTAAAAACGAATGGTTAAAAGTTAACTACAGTCTACAATACTGCCATCTATCGAATAAGCTGAAGAATTATTAAAAGTATTTAAAAAACGACGTTGTTTCATTTTTTTAAATTTCCATAAATATTTTTTAATGCTTATTAAAGTTATTTTGCGAAATTGGCGGCACCTAAAATCGGCCGCCCTAGACAGTTGTCTAGTTTGCCTAATGGAAGAACCGGGCCTGATCATAAGGTTAATCTGTAACCTAAAAATTTTGTCTACACCAAAGTGTAGCTTTTCGTATTTTGACTGTCCAGCAATGGTTTTCGACCGAAACCAAATGTGGCCGAATATCTGACTATGCAACTCTATCAATCAATCAATCTTCGTTTAGCGTCCAGAGACTCAGTTCCCCCGAGTTAGGACGTTGTTTTTTTGCCATCAATTTTTTTGCGCCAAATTAGACGGTCAGTTGTATCCATTTCATTTAAATTTAGAGCTTTCATGTTTTGCTAAATTGTTTTTGACCAGGACTTCTTCGGATGGCCTTTGGGACGTGTGCCAGGTACTTCAACATCTGCAAAAGAAGTTATAGCACTGTTTCCACTTCGAAACATGGTCAATGACAACCAAACTGGAACAACAACTTTATCGAACCGATATGAAAATGTCTCGATGGATGCAACAAATTAGTCTGAAGGACCACATCAAATCTACCAAAATCCTGCGTTGTTCTGGTTTTGATGTTACATCCGGTCTTGTTATATGGTGCAGAAACATGGCCAATGACAACCAAACTGAAACAACAACTTCAACGAAACGACATGAAAATGCTCCGATGGATGCAACGATTTAGTCTGAAGGACCACATCAAATCTACCAAAATCCTGCATCGAGCTGGTTTGGATGATATAAAGGACGAATGCCGGCAACACCGTCTGCGGTGGTTTGGTCATGTCAAACGAAGTTCAAAGAAGTCCTGGTCGCAAACAATCGAGCAAAACATGAAATCTCTAAATTTAAATGAAATAGATACAACTGATCGCCTAAGTTGGCGCAAACAATTGATGGCAAAGAAAACAACGTCCTACCTCTGGGAAACTGGTTCTCTGGACGCTAAACGAAGATTGATTGATTGATTAATTGCTGTCAAAACCATCTGTTTTTTTTCCAACGTGGCCATTGAGATCGCCTCCAATCAGAATTGTTTTAGATTTTGGTATTGTTGAGATGGTTTTAGAGAACGCCGCAGCCCAGAAGTTATTTTTCATCTCTTCTGATTCACCTTTCTGTGGCGCGTATGCAGAAAAAATAGTCATCGTTTGCTTTTCTAGGCGAAGCTTGATTCACATGAGACGTGAGTAAATCTATTTAATATCCAGTACTTCTTGGGCTAGCGGTTCTTTGACAAAAATTCCAACACCATTTTTGGTTGTCTTTCGAGCACTCCAGAATAGTTTATATTTTTCATTGTCTGAGTTGATATGACAGACACCATTCGATTTCTATCGGGTCTCATGAAGGCAGCAGATGTCAATCCTTCTTCGCTCTAGCATTTCTGCGATATCTTTCCTGTGATCTAACATTGAGCGTTCCAAGTCTAAGTACCATAGAGAGGCCATTCTAAATTTTTCTGCAACATCCCTCTGCTATTGCATACTTCCCAGGGATTCTTAGCACCCTTTGACCACTTAAGGCCTTCTGGGGACTAGGGGCCGTTGTTTTTGTTTGTGATGACATAGAATAATTTTGAGAAAATTTTTACATCCGGACACCCATCCTGACGACAACCACCAGTTATAAGCTGTGGGCCTAGCCTTTTGCTCAAAAGCACGCAAGGCAGCGTGGATGTAGTTATATTTCATACCAAGGACTGTACTAACGCCAAGAAACGTTTTAAAAAAGTTTGAAAATTTACAATTCAACTCTGATGTTTAATATAATTTTCTGAGGTTTTATATTTAGCTGGATGTCTGGTTTTAAGATGCCGAAGGCTATCTTTAATCCTTTTTGTGTTAGATATGATACTGATTACTAGTAATCACTTTGCCTGTGATTCAGCGTGGTCTCAATAGGGCTAGTTCAACGTGGCTTTGTATTTTATTTTTTGGGCATATACTTTCCAGCATAGTATATATCAACCTGAGTCATTCAACTATTTGAGCTTCTAAATCCAATCACTCAAGCAATCATCAATAAAAATTGATTTTGCCTGGTTTAAAATGATTTTTCAAATTTTAAACTAATGATGATGATGTCAAATTATTAAATCATTTCATATCTTGTTTAAATTAAATATGATTGAAATTCTTAACTTAGCGTTCAATTTAAGCGCAAAAATTTTTCAAACGAAAGTTGATTTTCATCTTCATGGTAATTTAAGTTCAAGTTCTCTCTTAAAACGATAGTAATATTTGTCTCTTAATTTAAATTTTTTCACATTTCAGTTTAAGTTATACCAACAGTCTTTTGGACGAAAAAGCCAAAGATTTGAAAGAACACTTGGAGCTATCTATCGAGAAAAATAAACATAAAATGTTAGTTTTTAAGAGTTTATTGTTTTTTAAACAGTTTTAATTTTGCAAAAATTTAATCACATTTGAAAAAAAATATAAACTATTCTGGAATGGTCAAAAGACGGCCAAAATGGTGTTGGAATTTTTGTCAGAGAACAGCTAGCCCAAGAAGTACTGGTTATTAAAAGGATTAATTCACGTGTCATGTGGATCAAGCTTCGCCTAGAAAAGCAAACAATGATTATTTTTTCTGCATATGCACCACAGACAGGCGAATCAGAAGAGATGAAAAATGACTTCTGGGCTGCATTCTCTAAAACCATCTCAACAATACCAAAATCTAAAACAATCCTGATTGGAGGCGATCTCAATAGCCGCGTTGGAGAGAAAACACATGGTTTTGACAACGTACATGGCGGTTTTGGCTATGGAAAACGGAATAAAGATGGCAACCGCATCCTTGAGTTTGCTGAAAGTCATGGGTTTTGTTTATTGAACACATATTTTAGAAAGAGGTTGTAACATCTCATAACATACAAAAATGGACCATCAGCCACGCAAATTGATTTCGGTCAAGCAACAACACCGAAGGCTATTCAAAAATGTCAATGTTATTCCTGGCGAATCATTTGTCGCCCAACATAGACTCTTTGTGGCAGACCTGGTTGTCGAACTGTCAAAACATAAGTCTAAACAAATGCCTCGGAGAATCAAAACGTGGAAGCTGAAAATCAATATTCATCGAGAAAAATTTCAACAGATTGTCGCCATACAGTTAGACCACCAATCGCAAGCCAGTACAGATTGGAATACATACAAAACCGTTTTGATAAACGCTGCAACTACAGTTTGTGGGAAAACTGGTACAAAACGTCAGCATGAACGTGACACTTGGTGGTTGAATGACAGTGTACAAAATGCAATAGCTGAAAAGAAAGTTGCATACAAGCAATGGCAAAAATCAAAGTCTGTTGATGACCATAAAATTTCTCGTGAGAAGAACCACTATGCAAGACTCGGACAGATCAGTGCAGTGAGTGGATCACTAAAAGCAAAGGTGAACAAATGAAATCTCTGTTTCGTATAGCAAAACAAGCAAAGCGTACGAAAAAAGGCATAGTTGGTGCCTCATGTATTAAAAACGACAAAAATGAGATGGTTCTTGAACAAGATGAGATCAAGCTACAGTGGAGAGAATATTTCAACCGTCTGTTAAACGAAACAAATCCCATCAATGTTAACTTTGACGCTCCACCCATCGAAGGTCCGATTTCAGACATCTCTGTAGAGGAGCTTACAGAAGCTCTGAAAGCTATGAAGAATGAAAAGTCGGCAGGGCCCTCTGGACTCACAAATGACATTATCAAAGCATCTGGTACTGCAGGTATCCAAACGTTACTACTACTTTGCCGTGAAGTGTGGAGAAATTGCTCATTGCCGACTGAATGGAACAATTGCATAACAGTCCCGCTATACAAAAGCAAAGGTGATCTATTAAACAGTTCATCATATCGTATACGTCTGTTAGAACACTCCCTGAAAATTGTCGAGAAAATCATTGAGAGATGATTAACGTCGTACATCACAATCGGAAAGTATCAATTTGGTTTCCTAGCGGGGAAATCAACAATGGATGCAATTCACATTTTTCGGCAACTGCAAGAGAAATACCTCGCAAAGCATCAACAACTATCACATTTTTGTAGACCTTGAAAAAGCATTTGATCGAGTTCCCCGTGAAGCAATCAAGTGGAGTCTACGTCGACAACTCATTCCAGAATATCTTGTTCGACTTGTGATGAAAATTTATACGAATACTAAGACTTTCGTCAGCACAACGTTTGGAAATACAGATGCATTTGACATCGGCGTTGGAGTTCACCAAGGCTCAATTCTCAGTCCACTGTTATTTATAACTGTGATGGAAGAAATCACAAAACCGATACGCACTGGTGACATTTGGAATCTAATATATGCTGATGATATCGTTTTAACACTTTTAACAGCCACGTCTGAACAGAATGCAGCACAAATGTTTGAAGATTGGAACACCAGACTTGCCGATCATGGATTCAAAGTCAACATCAGCAAAACCAAAGCAATGAACACTGGTGAACCCATCCAATCCACAGCTACTGGACGATGGCCCTGTTTAGTTTGTAAACAACAACAAATTCGAGATAGCAATTTTTTTGAAGCCATTAAGGTTGAGAAAGTCACATCGTTTCAATATCTAGGGAATGTTGTGGATTGTACTGGAACAGCTGAAGCTGCCGTTCGAGCACACATACGTGCAGCCTGGAATAAATGGCTTCTCCTTGCCGTTATATTGATGCGGCGTGACATCCCACTACCACTACGATCAAGACTTTATAAATCTGTGATACGTACGGTGTCTGAAGGACCACATCAAATCCACCGAAATCCTGTGTCGTGCTGGTTTAGATGATTTAAAGGACGAATGCTGGCAACACCATTTGCGGTGGTTTGGTCATGTCAAACGAAGTAGAAACAGTGCCATAACTTTTCTTGCAGATTTTGAAGTATCTGGCACACGTCCCAAAGGCCGTCCAAAGAAGTCCTGGTTGCAAACAATCGAGCAAGACATGAAAGCTCTAAATTTAGATGAAATGGATACAACTGATCGTCTAATTTGGCGCAAAAAGTTGATGGCAAAGAAAACAACGTCCTACCTCGGGGAACCGGGACTCTGGACGCAAAACGAATATTTATTGACATTTTTAATCACATTTGGGTATCACGAAAAATCTATCAATAATGTATTTTATATATGCGTGTTTTTTTTGTTCTTATAATATGCATTTTTGGTTCATGTCAACTCTGTTTAACTTGCATGAATATGCTTTCCTCTAAATAATTTTTCGGTTATATTCTGCAAACAATCTTTTAAATTATGTTTCACAAAAGCATTGACTGACTACGTTAAACTCAATCTGCTAAAATGTAATTTATAATATATTCAGTTAACTCCATGAATGTGCTCTGAATACTTTTCGTACATTTTATAAACCACGTAAACACTGCCAAAACTTTTTTTTAGATTTATAGAAATTATGCTCACTGAAAACATCGATTAACCTCATTAAATTAAATCGGGGGCTTAAAAAACTGTCAATGTTTATTTTAAAATATTAATTTATATATTATAATATTACATTAAACTTTTGTTAAAGTGAAGTTTGGCTGGAGCCTAACATTACAACTTGATGACGCAATTGCTTCCATGTCAACGTTTAAGTCAAATGTCTCATTTCATTTCCCATTAGAAATTCAACGACCGGGCCGGTGAAAAGTGTGGTTTTTTTCATTTATTTTGAAACTTGGATAAAAGTGTTATATAAAAGAAAAATTGTATTTATTTGTTGAGAAAAATCAGTGACTTCTTCACTCACTTGCTTCAATAGCAAAAAGACAGAAACTGACTCAATATTTTTTGTCCTGGAGGTTTTTTGTTTGTCGAGTTTTGTCCGGGAGATTTTTGTCCTAGAACCGTATAAGAGGTATCAACGACATGAGGTATCAACCACATGTCGATTTGTTATTTTAATTTAATCCTACAAATCAAATTTCGTGGTTATTGTTTTGTGATAAAATTTGAGTGTATTGTTTTGGGAATCAGAGTTAAATTTAATGGTAAAATTACTGCGATTTGTCTTTATTTTTCTGATTGTCGTGCAAAAATGCTCTTAAATAGATATAATAAATGTTAACAAATGGGAAAGCACGGATATGCATTTTCAAGAGTTATAGAGAGAGGTAGGTGTTAGCCACTGAACGGCATCTTTGCACATTTATTTAAAATTTTTTTG